GTCTCGTGTCAGAGTGATCGATACACATGGCCGCCATCTGTAAATTGCAACACAGCTTCCTGATAGGTTGCAGCTCATCACACATGAAAAAGACAAGCAGACTGATCCTGGCATAATGAATAATATGGCATAGGAAGTAGCCTTCAGTCTAGCTGAGATAACAACTGAGGTATGACAAACGCAGTGCTCTCTCACTGGCTTACTGGACTTGCCAGCCTGTCTCCTGAAAGTTGCCTGGAGTCACTCTAGCACAGGGTTTTTGTGTTGGGGTTCAGCAGCATAACACAAGGGTCATGACTGCTGCTGCATCTGCCCAGGCTCCCATGTATGTGGAGGGAATGGGGAACGCATGGAACAGAACCTGCAGGGGCCTTTCTCTCATGCCACAGGATGGCACAGCGAGCAAACACAGAGTCAGACAATGCCTGAACAGGGAGGTTGGCTAGTTGCAGACACTAAGAAGGCCCTCTTGACACTTTAAAACCAAGCGGCCTCCATCCAAAAAAGCACCTGGTGTACCTTTCTGGGGATTTGGCACTGCAAAAAGGAGGCAAAATTTGCATGTTTGCAGCTTTTCCCCACATAAGAATATAAAATGACATCTACTCAAAAATTTCAAATTGTGGGCCTCCAGATGTTTTGGCCTATCACCCCATGACACTGAGCAGCATTTGCCAGTGATGATGGATGGTGAGAATTGTAGGCCAAACATCGGCATGCACACAAGTTGCCCACCCCTGAAGATATACATTTAAATATTGCATGAGGTGGAGAGGAGTAGAATTGAGCTTGTCTTCCTGACATGCTAGTTTTCTATTGGCAGCGACTTCATGCTTGCTGATTTGCTTACGATTGGGAAGCATTTAAACATGTGATTTCTCCACTGAAATTTGGAAGCAACACATTCAAGGAATGTTCTACCAAGAGCTTTTTCTTGGATCTGCCTGCAGAGAATCAGAGAAGGGGAAACTATTGTGAAAAGAATATGTGGTCTCTTTCAGGTAGTAAGGAGGGCTTGCTCACTTTGCAGCAAGGGGGAGTGTTCTGGAGTGACTCTTGGTGCCAAAAGCTTGCAGTGCAACTCCAGGAGGCGCTTCTCTCCTATTAGCAAAGGTCTCGCCTGAATCTGCAGCCATCACGCTGCATCTCCAACTGCACGGGCTTTCTGAAGTTTGCTTTTTGGTGCACTCAAGCTTCTCCACCCCAGTAAATTCTCCTGGCTCTTAGTCTGCTTGCTCTTTGATGGATCTTAGCCAACTGCATTTTCTCTCTCCATTCTTCCCTTTCTCCCCAACAGGACACGGTAGCTTCTCAATAATAGATGGGCTACAATACTTCATGGCTCTACTTAAGGTTTTCCTAGTGTTTCAAATGCCTGGGTATGCCATTTAGTTTCTATTCCAGGGAATGAGAATGCTCAGGCCTGCACTGGGCTTAGCTTGGTTGTGTGAAAAAGTGGGAGGGGAAGGGAGCAAACAAACCACAGAGGCATTTCTCAGTGAATAGAAAGTGTGGAATGTTTCTGCTCTTTGTGGGCATGAATAAATCACAAAGAAGGATGGGGTGGGGGAACGAAGCAACTCATGAATGATTTACAAACACACGCTCATGAATTAATGGCCACAACAGCAAAGTGCCAACTGTGTCGCAAATTGGTGTATTAGAGACGGACGATGCAGCACGGGGAGGGGCAAGGCTTGCTTGAGCCAAGGGAGCAAACTCAGGAACAGCCACTGCAACCGCAGGCTGCCGCTTTTGCTCTGCGTGCTGTTTCCTGGGAGGACGGCTTTTACGGCCAAGGGCCTTACGCTTCCCATGCCATGGCTGCACTTGCTCTTGGCCCCCTGGCAGCGGCGTGACTTAGGACTGGCACAATAGGCCTAGCGGGTATAATGAGGCAAAGCCCCCAGTATGGGCCCCAACATACAGAAGATGCCTGTGCTACAGGATGGTGTGGGCCAACCTCACAGGCAGGGCGAGCTGCATCAGCTGATGTGGTTAGCTGAGGTCAACCTGTCGAGCAGCCTCCATTCCTTAAGACGTGGAGAGGCCCTTTGTTCATACCCACTCAGGGCATTATCAAATAAAATGGGGGGAAGCCATGACTGGATTTTCTATCTGTTAAAAACAGAAGGCAACCCTGGCAATGTGAATCAGATCAAGGCCATGACGGAAGCAGAGCAGGATGGTTGTTTAGCTCTTTTCCCATGAGTCATCTTCCAAATCTAAGTTCCGCCATGCTTGCTTTGAACTTGAAAAACACAAAAGAAAACAAGAATTCGTGGAAGGTCCAGGGCCAACTGCCATGTGGAGTGGATGGGGCAGAGGAAAATAGGAACTCGTGCCTGAACGGTGCAGTAAGCATTGCCGCTGGTGGGAGTGGGTGTGGAGTTGGAGCGTACTTCGGGCAGCGAAATGCCATGGGCTGCCACTGGCGAGATCCAGCCACCAGGCTCTCTCCGTTTCATCTGATGGTGCTCTTGGTGTCTGGCTGGGTTTGGGAAGGACCCTTACCACTCTCTGTTGGACTGGCTGGCAGCCCTGTTTTCATTTGCTGGGATTTCTCGTTTTGCCTTCTCTTGCAGTACCCAGCATAGCTTACTTGCCTGAATCATTGGCATCACTCTGCAGGGCCCATTCTTAGAATTACCAAGTTTGGATTCCACAAATATCTGTCCTCTAAACAGGACAGAAAAGACTGGGGCAGGGTTTAGATATTTATGGGCGGAGAGCCTTATACAATCAGTTGGGTCAAGAGCAGGGCCTGGCAATATCTGGAATTCTGAGGCTCAAATATGGGTTGATGGGACACTGTTTTACTGATCAGATCTGACAAAACTACCTGGGTGGCAGCTCTCTGCTAGTGGCACATGGGAGTGCATGAAACTGCCTTCTGTCAGACTAATCAACTAGTCCTTTGAGTCCACTCTGGCTCTATCAATTGACAACAGAGCTTCAGGGAAGAATATTTCTCAACCTGCCTTGGGGTACTTGCAAGGAATGGTGGGATAGCAATATAAATAAATTAAAATTAAAAGCCAAAGCCAAAACAAGGTGTCATGCTGATTCCTGAGATCCTTCTGAGTGGAGATACCACAGACTGAACGGGCACCCTTCGGCATGCAAAGCATCCAGTCAGCCACTGTGGTAAGGCCCCTTCCATTCCCCTAGCATGCTGTGGCCTGCATTACATGAGCTGATGCTGGGTGTGGCCAAGAGGATAGGGCCTGGGTGGCTCTTCCCTACAGTTGGGTGTTGGGTCCCATGATTGTATGGCCATAGCTAATGCAACACATGTTAGGACAAAGAATAGATAGCATCTCCTTCCTTATCTTGCTACCCTCTGGATTCTACTCTGCTTTAAACAGATGTAGGACATGATTTTATCACACATCTGTTCTTGATATGTCATAAAAAAATTCTGACTATTTAGCAAGATAGAACAGCTGATCAAGCTACCCAGAAATGAAAAAGCTCAACTCAGGGTAATTAGGTTATCTTTATAGTGTTAGACTGATGGTGACCTTCCCAGGAATGCTAATTTCTCTCCATAGAACATAAGGCAAAGCAGGCTAAGAAAAAATGTGGGACATACTTTCAGATTTGCCACGTGATGCAGCAAGTTAGCCAGTGTTACTATAACAAAAGATTTTTCACAGTGGCTTTGGAAGTTTAACATGTTTACCAAATGCCAGGATGTGGAAGCCTTCAGTGAACTCAGAAAATGGCAAGACAGAGGTGGTGAGGAAGTAAAGTTAATGTAGATATAACTCAGGATATTGTTTAGACAATCACATTTGCATTCTAGGGACCACAGAAACTGGATTGGACTTAGGACTGTTTCTCTTCGTTCCAGACATTGTGGAATCATTAATCCTGTGTCAGCCCACTGAAGCCCAGTGCAGCAGGAATTTAAGATAACATTTATATTACAGGTGATTATGATTTTCCATTCTTTAATTATACTGATGAAGTAGGGATGAAGAACATCATGTTCAGTTATGGATGGGAATCTGATGTTTGGTGGTTTGTTCCAACATCACTGTAGCTATGCCAAGACTTGGGGATTACTACATTCGGTATTATTCGGAGTCTGTGGGAGGGCAAAGAAGATGGTAATAGTTTCTGGGGTCTACCTGTACTGATGTCTGGCTACATAACTCGAGTGAGCATCTTCTTCCTTTCCTTGCTGAGTGGCTGAATCAAGACTGGGCAAAAGTATAATCTAGAAAGCTGAAGTTCTCTCTCCTGTTCCCACCTTAGCAATGCCTAGAACAAAAGGGGTGAAAGGGGAAGAAACAGTAATGTACCTATGGAGCATTGTAATTGAGAGCTATTTTCTTGGGTCACATAATCTCTTTCAAGGACATGGAGGTCACCTAGCTATACCAATTGCCTGATATTTTAGGGTACATTGTCATGATTACAGTGTCCAGTTCTTCTATTCAATTGTCCCCACGTGGTGGAGAAAGCTTAACATATACAGATGGCTCCTAGGGTGCCTGCTCACTGTATATCTGTGCATCCATTGTATTACTGAAGGTTTCTTCTTCTTCTGCCACTGTTCCACTGATTTGTAAAAGTGCATTTCATTTCTTTGTTTAGCTTGCATGTTCCAACTACCCTGGCTCCGAGAAAAAGAGGAAGATGCTGAAACTCACAAAAGCATTATGATATTAATGTCACAGATGTGAAGAGCTAAAATAAGCCCTAACTTAGTTGGCAGGTTGGTGTTATCACCAGAGGAAGAAGTTCTGCAGCATGTTCCTTTGCTAACTCACACCATGAATCTGTGCTGCTTGCCAGAGAAGGTCGGATGTCTGTACAGGATTTGAGAGCGGGAGGGAGGGAGGGAGGGAACTTGCCCATTACTAAACTATCCACTTCTGTTTAACCCTAAAAGATTTTGCTGGTGACCCTGTTGCAGCTGGCAGATTTAACATGTGCAGTGTAGAAGCCGTTATGCTGGATATGGACTTGTTGTTACTTGGGATTTTGCCCTATGCAGTTGGCTTGCCTTGGCATTCGCGTTTGGAACACTGAGCAGGCTTCCACCAGTCTCCGTTGTGACAGTGACAGATGTTACACTCATCCACTTTCACTTCGATGCCAGCCGGAATGATGGTGGTTCCTGCAAAGCAGTTTGGACCTGGAAATGTACACAGATAAATAAATTAAATGGGGAAGCAGATTGAGGAAGAGGAGCTTGTTTTCACTGGGCACCATCCAGCCAGAGTCAAACACCGCTAAGCTCCATTGATGTCAATGGGAGAGAGTTAAGCTCAGCACTACAACCACCCAACTTCAAATAGACTGTGTCCCATCCTTACCTGTGGTAGCTGTACTGAGCTGTACTTTTCCTACCTCCAAACCTTTTGAAACTAGCACCATAACTACTCTACTCATGCTGCCACTGCATCAAAAAAGTGAATAGGTTTCAAGTGCAAACATATTAATTAAGAATGATGAACCAAAATAATGTGAGGACTGCTGAAGCTAGCATCTAATCGGATCTCAAAAGTTCCTTGGGCCTTTTAATGGGTGTCCAACTGCATGAAATTGGAGAATCATGCAGAATGCAACGGAGAGTGTCATTCTTCCCTGACTGCATGCAGACATGCAATGGACTGTGAATTAGCATGATGGGATTTGTTCCCTTTTAATGGGCTAGCCTGACACAGAGACAAGCAGTGGCAGACTCCAGAGGCATACCATTTTTCTGTCATGGAAAGTGGGACAGTGTCCAGTTATGATCATTTTTTCAGGTGTACAGACATCCACCTGTTCTGTGAGGGGTTAACAGTACACTCCTTTGCCTAACTGCTCAGAAGTAAGCCCTACTGAGCTCAATGGAATTTACTCCAAGAAAACTCGAGGTCACAGCCCACATATAGCCTGGATTGCACCCCGTAGGGTAACCACGTCTTCTGCTGTACAGAAGATGTGAAGTAGCTGTCAGCTACCCAGAGGGCTTTCTCAACAGAATGGTCTGCCAGGGGAGATGCATCCGATATCCCAAATTGCCTCCTTTAGGAGGGAGTTAAGGATGTATCTCTTCCAACAGGCCAGCCCAGATTAGTTCTCAGATCTGTTTTATTTAATATGTTGTTTGTAGTCAATTTTAATCACTGTTGGTTTAATTTTTTTTGTAAACCACCAGAGCAGATAGGAATCGGGTAGTATATAAAAAATAAATAGAAGTAATTGAAGGTCCTCTATTGGAAAGGTTATCAGAAGGCAGACCTCTGTTGGAAGAAGATCTTAATTTAAAAGGCTGTCCTGCCCAGTTCCTGATGGATGGTAAGGACCCCCAGGGTGGAAGAGCGGCAGGGCCTTGGCGCTGCCCCACAACAGAGAGGCCCTGATTGACTGGCTAGGCACACATGCCAGCCACCTGGTCCCTGCCACCCCACTGTGGGGAGCAGCATTGCACTTTCGCTTGCAGTATATTGCTTACTTCCAAATTCGCATCACTACATCAACTTAGCATACTGAAATACTAGTATGCTGTCTTTTGGCAGTGTTTAAATGGCTGTCCTAATGGTCAGTGGAACTGATCCTCCTCTACGATAGCGGTCATGTTGCAGAGTACAGAGTTTGGTCTCCAATGGGAAGCCAGACTACTTTCAATACCCTGCTACTAGGATGACCCCTGCCCTCTCTTTCTAGATTGTATGATTAGAAAGCAAAGACACAGGAAATTCTGTGGAATGTTTCTACTGAAAAGACATGTTGGGTAGGAGTTCTTTCTGTCTGTGTGTGGTTACAGCTTGCAGACTGGGTCTACTGACTTGGTTCTCATGACATGACAGCCCATCATGTCAAGCAAACCCAGACCATTTCCTTAGCAGTGGCTTGTTCATGGGCATCAAGTCACTGTGACAATCAATGCCCTGTTGTAGGGCTGCTTTTCACCCACAATGGGTTGGTGTGTCATCAGATTATTGTCCCCATTATGGGTGAAGGTAAGCCAAGTTTCCTGTCAAGAGTGGCAAAAACCCTCTTGCCATTGTTTTCAAAACAGGCTCACTTTTGCCATTGTCATCACTTTGGGTTGGCTGTCCTTGGGTGAGGATGCCCTGCTGAGATTCTGAGCCCCTTTTGCTCACCATGGCTTTTTTTCATCCTTTAACCTATTTGTTCTCAGAGACTGTGATCTCAGTTTGACAGTCAGTTTCTACAATTTCATTCTGACAGCCACTGACAATCCCCTCAAAGTGCCCAAGCAACACATTGAGGAGTTGCCAATGCTTGGTAACCCCCCATTTTGTTGCAGCCACAATGTGCATTAATATTTTCATATTGCAGCGAGGATTGCATTTGCCCAACATTGGAGAAATGAAGAGCCACCTACTGAAGAGTTGATTTTAAAAAAGATCTTGGACTGCGCGGAGATGGACAGATTGACTTTGTCTTTGAAGGAGAAGGAAGATACATACTTCAATCAAACTCGGAATATTTTCTATCATTGGTTAGAGAAACGGGACTATGTGTAGAATTGAATATGGTTGTTGAATATAAAAAAAGGGTGAGATGTCGACCCAGTATGTCTGATGTCCTGAATAATTGTTGTTTTTAGTTTTGGATTTATAGAGAAAATAATAAAACTTGATTAAAAATATTTTCATATTATTTTTAGAAAACAACTGTGGAGGTGTGCAGTTCTTCAAGTAAGGACATGGGAATCTTAGCTGTGCAAGGTCCTGCAGGGCCCTGAGAAGCTCCAAATAGGGGTTTTCTTTATTTTCTCTTATGAGCTGTCAAAAGGGAAGTTGTCAAAGGTAAGCAAAACCATGAGTGATCTTTGCTCACTAAAGGGTACGGCCGATCGAGCACTCTTTTTGTGACAAGATCCTCATCGTGAGTGTTTTTGTCCTGACCACCATCAGGATCCTGAACATTTTGCACTTTCCCCTGAGACTCTAGCTGCAAAAGCACAAAAGTGCCCCCCACCCCCCCGCATTCAGGTAGGGATAGAGTTTTGACAACTATAAAAAATCAGAGTCCCCTTTAAAATGCAGTTTTGATAGGGCAATGGGTGTTCATCATACAGCCATGAATGTCTGTGACAAAATAACAATTGCTTTGTCAAAATCCTTTGTAAGAGGGAGCCTGAGATTCTCACACCTATTCAGGTTTGTAAGAGAAGGGCAAAGATTAAAGCATGCAGCTCACTTGCTCAGGCATTTTGCCTGCATAACATTGACTTTCTGCTTGCAGAATTCTTATTTGTAGTACAGAGGGGGTACAAACTCTGAATCCTCTAAGTATAAAATTTGAAAAACGTTCATTTTCCAGAATTGGTTTTAGAAGGAGAATATTGACTAATGAACATTGCATATATTTGCAACTGACAGCAATTAAAGACCTATAAAAGTACCATTCTACAATGAAAGGAATTGGGTCAAATTCTCTGTTGATGTAAAAGGTCACAGCACTCTTGAAATCTGTTTATAGATGCAAAAACAAAACAAGAAATAGCTCTTGAATGTGCCTGCAGCTTTCTTGCTCGCTTTCTTTCTGGGGTCTTGAGCTTGTTATTTGAGAACAATGAATTATGTATGGCAAAAATGATTTATTCATACGCCAAACAAGATTTATTATGGATTTTATTTCATAAAGGGGATTTCTCTAATCTGCTTATTATCTATCCCTTCCCCCTGCCTCCACTTATTTATTAGAAAATATCAAGAACTCAGTCACTTTTAAGTCAGTGCGGCTTTTTCCTCTTACGCACTTGCTAAAAGCAATGGCCCAGATGTTTATATACAGGCATGCAGTGTTAATCTCTGGCTTCCAAACACATAACTGTGCTGTGCAGCAGGTAACACTGCGACAAATGTAAGGTGATTTGGAGCTAATGCCTTAAGAAGATGGAGTTTGGGTAATGCTCCCATCGAAAGCCCTGGGGCAGAGGCCAAAATTGGGCCCTGAAGGAGGAAGGAGACTGCTGTTCCCAAGCCATTTAAAGATATGCCCAGCCAGCTTCCACCTACCTTGGCCTCATCTAGACGTCAACTGGGGCAGTGGTAGGTATCAGAAATATCTGAGGCTCAGGCCCAAGCAGCACCAGCAGCAAATGTGCATGTTTGTATATGCTAATCAACATACAAAGTTTCTCTCTGTGTTACTTTAAAGGGGCTTGTCTCCTAAGCACACCGTTTAAAAAATGGTGCATGGCCAGGGAAGAGGAAGGCATTGGATTTCAGGGGGAAGTCACCTCCCTCAGGCAGAAGGGTCCAAAGGTGGAGGTAGCAGGACGTGAAACACCTGCATGCAAAAGCCAGCTAATCCAGGAAGAGTGGATGTGACAGAGATGATCAGGCTCCCACCCATAGGTTCCCATGGAGGGCAGAGTGGCGATGGTCTCCCAGAGAGTCAGGGCTGCAGCCCCACTGGGCCATCCCTTGATGCCACTCTGCTGTCAGCGAGGCAAAGGGGAGGGCTGTGCCGTTCACGTTGCATGGAAGGGAGGTGAAACGTTAGAGAAGGGTGGCGGTGGCCCACTCTGGGTGGGTGGCAGAATGAGTGCCTCGCGTGTGGAAGGCCCCAAGGGCAGTCTCTGCCCTCTTCAGCCAAAGGGGATCTCATCCCTCCCCTCGAGGGAACCGGCACTAACAGAAATGGACAGAGTAGCTGAATGGTCAGCCTCATGTGTTCAAAGCTTGAATATGTGGGCAGGAACTATATTGCAAGTACTTGAGCACCTTCAGGATGTCAGAACCTGTGCTGGATGACAGTCCTGCCATTGTGGGCCTCCATCCACGGGCCTGGTGCATCTGGCAAGGGCTTTGCTCAGAGACTGATGCTGAGACTGGGGTTCCTCAAGGAGAGTGCCAGAAGCTCTGCTCTGCGCTGTCCTTACAGCCCTGCACTGCAGACTTTTATGAGGCACTTGTCTAATCCCTCAGACATGGGGACTGATGAAGGGGAGGAGGGCCAGACATCATCTTCTTCCATTTGTGATCCTCCTCTGGAGTCACCAGGGCCATCTGATGGGCACTTGCCCGTGGGCCCCATACTAATCTGTGTATGTTAACGCTTGGAAAATTGGAAAACTTCCAAAATTAACAGTGGTTGTAGTTGTCGTAGGGGCCCCAGTACACTGCTTTGCCTGGGGCCCGTAATGCTGTTAAGACGGCCCTGGGA